ATGTTTTCTGCGTTGCTTGCCATGGCAACAATGGTGGCGTGCACGTCGTGAAAGGAGGGAATCTTGCAGAATGAACATTATTCGCCTCAGGATCAGCTTAGGGTAAAAATCCAATCTGATCGAAAATGTTTGATTTCGACAGATTTCAGCGAAAGGTGGGTGACTGAAGCGAGCCTGGTTCGTGTGGACGGCGCTAGCCTTGATTTTTTCTTTTAAGCCCCCTTGATGCAGAAGGGTGGTTTCCTGTGAACCATCCCTTGGTTAAGTTAGACACTATTATGTTTTCCTAGTTAATGTAAATCAGTGTTGTTCCCGGTCTATTCACGGCATTCTCTTTTATTATGACCCAGAGATTTCCAACCGCCCTAGTTTGTTTTGTGTCCCCTGTTTTTTATCTCGTCTGGATCAGCCTTTGACTTTTCCCATTCCGTCATTTATTTTGACTATCCCCATTCCATTAGTGAGTGGGCTGATTAATTCTTTTTATCGGTAGAATACAGCGGCCTCTCTTATTATTTTGAGGGGTGGTCGGGTCCTAGTAAAATACATTTTGTTTTAATTTGTTTTGTTACAATTTTTTGTTAGTTTCTGGGTTCATTCCTTCCCCCTCATTTCATGATTCATTAATTTTTTATATATTTTTGCATTTTGTGCTTTTATATCATAGGGTGTTTTTGTAGGTTTCCCCCCTCTGGATATGTGGTATTGTGGTTTATGTAGGATTGAATGGGGAAGGATGAGTTCTTTTATTGAACGGATAAATTTTATCGGATTAATGGGTCGTGATTGGGATTAACTAGGACTAAGATAGTAAAGACCAGCCTTTCTCCACTTCCCCTTTGGCCATGTGCCATTTTTTTTTTTTTTTATAAAATAAATAATCCTGAAACGATAGTCATGGCAGCTGTTGGTAATCGACGTGGTAATTTATATTAAGAAAGTTCAGGTGGCTGATTTAAAGAAGCAAATAAGAGTAGCATACGATACTAATGAAGAGTGGCGAAGTCTTGTGGATAGTCTTGGAGTTAAAAGAAAAATCCACAGAATACCGATGGGTGATGAACCCGAAAAGCAACATGGTGGATTGCGGAGCTCTAAAATTGGTGCTGAACACAAAGATTTTATTGAAGTGTGTGTGGAGGAGAACCAATAAATAACGTTGAAGAAGTTGGCAGCTTTGATACAACAGAGATTCAATATGGTTGTGAGTTCTGAATGTGTTAGAAAATATTTGAATGGACTTTTATTCACACTCAAAAAAGTTCACAATGAGCCGGAGAATGCGACTTGTGATATCAACAAAAACAAACGTCGACAATATGTCCAAGAGCTACTACGATTCCTGGCTGACAATATCCCAGTGTTTACGTTGATGAAAACAACGATCTCGTACGGAAGGGCGATCAAGGAAGGGGAGTCACTGTAGTCACCACCGGGACTCGCGGGGCAAATATTCATGGAGGGGTTAGTAACCTCGGATTAATCTCTCGAGGGTTATTCAAAAAAGAACAAGCTGAAGTGTTTATGAGACATTGTTTACAACGGGCCCATAACAGATATCAGTCAGCTGTGCTATTGGTGGCTGAATTCCCGTTATCCTGCTTTGTAGGAAATTGTATTTCTAGAACCTGAGTTTTCCCATCATCACTTCTTACACCTCGGACCATATAGTCTGATATTGAATCCAGTAGAAGGAGCATGTTCAATTCTTAAGGCTGGTGTAAAATCAGGCGAAGGAATGGAGAAATGCAAACCAAACTGAATTTCGCAGTGCAGATCAGCAAATGATTGCTAATAATATACCTCTAATATCCCTGACTAAATGTACTTCTCTGCTAGCACATGTTCATCGATTTATACAGCCAACCTTAGATCTTAAGAATATGAATCTTTTACATGCACGAGTACATTGATATTCCATAATTCGTGAATTAGTGACAATACATATTTGCTAGTTCAGTTTCAGTGCTATGCCTCATTTGTTTTGTTGAAAAAATATATTTGCCAATTTGAAATTGTTTAGTTTCCATTTGAAATTGTTTAGTCTCAATTTGAAATTGGTTAGTCCAATTTGAATTTGGCTAGTCGCAATTTGAATTTGGTTAGTCGCAATTTGAAATTGGTTAGTCTCAATTTGAAATAAGTTAGTCCCAATTTGAAATTGATTCGTCTCTATTTGAAATTGTTTAGTATCAATTTGAAATTACTTAGTGTCAACTTTAAATTTTTTAGTCTCAATTTGAAATTGGTTAGTCCAATTTAAAATTGTTTAGTTTCAATTTGAAATTGGTTAGTCCAATTTAAAATTGTTTAGTTTCAATTTGAAATTGGTTAGTCCAATTTAAAATTGTTTAGTTTCAATTTGAAATTGGTTAGTCCAATTTAAAATTGTTTAGTTTCAATTTGAAATTGGTTAGTCCAACTTGAAATTGTTTAGTATCAATCTGAGTTTGATTATTTCTAACTTGAACTTGAAATGTTATAAAATACTGAGCTGAGTGCCACAGAAGTGAGTAGACACGGTATCACTTGATCTCCAGTAAAATCCGTCAGCCTCTGTTATAAACATGCCAACAATAATAACAATCATAATCACTTTGTTGGGCGCTTCTTTCTCACTCAATAAGAATAAATAACTGATGGTGAGAAAGTTATTGAAAATTTGAGGAAACTTGCAGCCATTCAATTTCTAATCAGATTCCATGGGAACATGTCGGAAACTGACTATAGTAATAGGAATATTGCCAGAGAAGCGATAACATTCTAAAGACATGAACAGGAACGAATCATATCGGAAAGATTTGCGGAAAACATGGAAGAATGAAATATCCGGGATATAGGAGTGAATTCATTTAGATCACATCGTTATTAAAATCAGCAACAATACTCATGTGGTGTGGGTGCTAAAATAATGAATTTACTTTGAAATTCTCCAAACGATTGAGTATTGAGATTGCAAAACAGAAAACGCTCTAGAAAATTCGATAGAATTCAAGAAATTTCAACGGATTATCCAGGAGAGGAAATCGGATTTAGTCATTGTGACGAAAATGGAAAGCGCACTTCTGATATCAATTAGTCTTTTTAATTCAGTTAAGAGCTACAAAGGACAGAAAATTGGACATAGCCTACGTAATGAGATTGTGTAAATGGTTGGTAGAACATGGATAAGGAAAGATAGCAAGATGAGAAATCTTACAAAGACCTACCAAGGACAGGAAGTTGTGGAGAGTCATAATCGCCCACGCCATGAAGAGATACGGTACATAGAAGAATAAGCATGAAGTCCAGGTAGATGTCTTGCCGGTTTGGATTAATATGAACAGATGATGTAAACACAGTCCAACAATGATACGCACTTCTGATATCAATTCGGTTTTTTAATTCAGTTAAGAGCTACAAAGGATAGAAAATTGGGGAGAGCGATGATCGCTAACGTCCTGAGATTACGCAGCACATAGAAGAAGGAAAACACCAATATATTATCAAATATCTACTTCTCTATAGAAATTGTAAATATGAAATAATTTAATTAAAGACAATAGCGATAATGCTTTTCCACAACTTTCTTTATTTACTCTTTCTTGTAAATATAAAGCAATTTAATTGTGGAAAATTTCAGCACGTAGCTCCACAACTTTACAATAACTTTATATATTTATCGGTTACAAAACCTGATCTCCTCTATTTACTATTAAGATGTTCTACTCTTATTATAATACGATGCATTAGTCGACGTTAATAAGCGAACATTACATCTATTACTCAAACAACGAAATATCCCATTATCTTGTTGCGAGCACAGAATGTTAATATTACTTTATATTCCTTTGGATTTCAGTGAATGTTCTTGAAAAATTCCTTCTCGTATTCCACAACAGAGATAATGGTAGATAAGATCCATGTAGAACATATAAACCATAATTTTGAGAGATTATGTAAATGTAGCCTTCGCTTTTGGGCAGTACGCGCAGATTAATTGCAACAATAAAAGAAATCAAATCTTGCGAATAAAGAGTAAATCGTAAAGATGTCCAAGAAAATAATAAAACTGGCCATATCTTTCCTGGACAGGAAGATTAAAATATCCTATATATTTGTTGACTATGGATGACCCTCCCAATTTGCGTTAGAGTTATTTCGATTCAGTCAAGTAAAATCTATATAACAAAAACAAAAGAGAATTTCTCTTGAACTGCAAATAAAATAAGCAGATTTTAAACGTTTATTCCGATTTCATGTTGAATCTGTCTTTCCGTTTTCAGTTTAAGAAAGAAACAGACACGAACGAATTACTGGGCTGATATCCTAACGCTAAATAAATTAGAACTACCAAACAAATGTTTTAAACGGATTGTACATAAAATAATTGATTCTAACAAATTATTGAACGGAAGTCAAGACAGGATTTAATAACTGATTAAATTATTACGAAAAGAAAGAAAAATAAAATAAAATATACTAAAAATCGAGAAAGGCAAGCCGATTTAACGAGGTTTTCTATTTTCTTTCAGAAGGTCAGAAGCTTTTACATTTTCAAACATTTACCGACCTTGAATAATGTCATGTCGGGAACTTGGTTTGTGTAAAATGGTCTCGGATTCTATTAATACTGATCGATTCGCATTGGCTGCCCCATAATGCACTGGCCATGTGCCACGTTAAGCTGAATTTAGTAAATGTAGGCAGCCTTCTATAGACCAGGTACATGTGAAAAAACGATTGTTAATTGATTGACTGACTGATGGAGTCATTTTTCACAGCTTACCAGACCTTTTTTTAAGATTGTAAGAAAGTATTTATGTGAGGTAGAGATAATAACTGTTTAACGATACAACTCTTGGTAATTAACCCATATATGGGGAGAGAAGAGATGGTTTCATACCTTTCTCAAGAGTATTTCCGGGCAAGTGAAAATAATGAACCCAAGCGGAATTTGAACTCTACCCTCTGATTATCTATTCCGAGCCATTATCCATTGCACCACCTGCACATCCAAGATTACAGCATCTGATATTCCCAAAAGGTCACCCATCTGGGTATTGACAAGGCTCGATGATGTTTAACTTTGGTGATCTTATGGAAATCGGTGTTGTCAACGTGATGTGGTCGTAGGTTTAAATTATTAGTGAGAGCCCCTATATAATACCGTACTCTAGTTTGCTCGTGTGGTGAGTTCGATCGTCTAATGTAGGGTAGTAAAAAATTGTTAAATTTAGCCTCCAGTATACGGATATCCACACACCGTAGTATTGATTAAACGATTCATATCAATCGTAAATATCTAACAGAACCTCTGTAGCCTTTAATTTTATTTTATGATGTCGCTTTACTAATGGATAAGACATTTGTGTAAATTCAAATCAAAGAGGAACATATTTCATACTTGTAAATGTTATTATCTTTAATGTGAGTCTACGTTGGACAAAATCTTTTAAAATCCTTCCATGATGACCGAGACTGTGCTACACTGTATCATGTCTTATCAACAAAACTCTCTACTACCTTCGTTATCCGCCTTTGGCTCCATCTATTATTCTTTCTTTTTGCAGCGTCCCGCTAACTTTAATGTAGATTTAATTTGCACCAAAATATTATATAAACACTAACTGAAAAGAAAATTGGAACATCCTGAAAACTTTTTCCTACTGATAGCATGCTAACGGGTAATAAAATCTTCAACGTTTTAAAGACATTGGTCATTTCGTGATATAGCGAAACGTCAGTGTCAGAAATTTAGACGATCATACAACCTGTTGGATTATTGGACTTCGAGAGTCTAGTTATTTCGGAGAATTGCTATGCTTTTGTATGTGGTGTACAGGTGATGCCTCAATGTTCGTCAATTGAACATTCTTGCACGCATAAACTAGGTAAGGAACAGCCATAGACCAGGTAAGAGACAGCCACGGCCCATTTAAGGCAGATCTTGTGGCGACCATTGTAGAGACAAGAGCAAAAGTGACCACAATTGTGCCAACATGGACTGTTGTGAATCGCTAATTTGCTGCAGGACTACGGACACAGGTAACTCTGACAGACTTCTACATTTACTAAAAAAATAACACCCCAAAAACTTTGAATACATATGTAATGGTTTCATGATTGTCGCCAAAGGCCTTGAATGTCACTCTATAATTTTGAGCAATGCAAGTAGATTATGCCTTCATGCAAGTAATGATATCTTGCGAGCATGACGTAAAGCTGAATAGGAACATTTTCTCCTCTAGGCAAAGATTCCTTATTTTAAGATGTCATTATTTTCTTATTTACGATGTTATTTGTGGCTATGCTAGGTTGTGATTTTTAGGTACCACATATATTTTGAAATGGTGGCGCTATTTGCATATTTTTGCTGGTCAAAACTATTTTGCGTGATTAGTTTTTCTGTTTCTCATTACTGTATGTTTTTCTGGGTTTCTTCTGAATCTTATAGCAGCTTTGTATATTACGTTGGCTTGTAGGCAGGCATATTCCTGTGGGACCTGGTAGCCTGTTATGTAGTTGTGTATGGTTTCTGTGTGAATGTGGTGCACTGTTGATTTTTTCTTTGTGGCATGTTTATGATGCTGTTATAGCTGTGATATAAGGTATTTCTGCTGAATATTTCGTGAAGGTTGCTTGATTTTGGGAAATGCTTGTCGATAATTTTGATGAACAAATTTACCATTTATCATACTTTACCGACATCCGTATTCATTTTCTTAAACGGTTGATGGAATTTATGTGTTGTTTCTCTTACTTTTGCATTCGTTTCGTAAGTTAGGCTGTAGTTTGGTTTGGTTTGTTTTATGGCATATCAACACCTCAATGGGTTATTGAATGCCTACAACATTTTTATTGCTGATAATATTTTTGTTTCAAAATCTATTGCTGGTAATTTATTTTCCAAAAATATATTGCTGATAATTCTTTTTTTCCAGAAATGTACTGCTGGTAATTTTTGTTTCAAAAAATGTATTGCTGACAATAATATATTGCTGATAATTTTTATTCAAAAATTCATTGCAGGTAATAATTTTTTTTGCAAAAATGTATTGCTGGTAATACAACTTATTTTTACACGTTTTGACCCCAGTTTGGGCGTTAACTATTTACCCCTAGCTGGTACCCTAACAGGTGATACCACTCCGAGTCAGTGTGGACCTGGGAATACCAGCAATTAAGAGATCGTCCCACGAACCTCAAAACCTTCTGACCAGAGGTCTTGCTGTTTGATGTAGTTTTCGTCTTACCCAGGACGCAGATGTAGTTTGTCGTCATACCCAGATCGGATGAGTTAGGCTGAAAACCACCTTTTATGCCAATTTATGCATTTAGTTTCGTTGAAAATGTTTCCGTTTGACAAGTTCTCTTAATATCAGCGTCTGATGGCGTTCTATATTGTCTGGCATGCTTTATCTTTACAGCAATTATATCAGACTAAACATTGAGTATTGTGGCCATATCGAAACAGGAGCTGAACAGTAATCACCGCCCAGGCATGATAAAGTTCAAATCTTTTTTGTCACCGATGCAACGTCACAAGTCTGTATCCATGGCAAATGTTCAGATGAACTCAATTCTTTAGTTCCTTTAATTTCGAAATTTATAGATAGGATACACCATGCCATGTCAACGGAGTTGAATCACTCTCATTTCCTGCGTGTTCCAAATATAGAGAGATTTCAGTTTTTTGCCAAGAACTGACACTTTGTGAAAAAGACTCCCACATGGATGCTTTCTGTAACACTACAATTTTAATCTTTTCAAGTTAAGGTTCACTTGCTCTCTATTCTTATGACCTTGACTTTGTAATATCTCTTCTTTCATTCATATCTCACATCACATTCATCATAACCATTTTAATAGTACCCCAAAGTTAATCTCTTCAAGTGAAAGATCAATCGTTATCCATCGGCCTTATCCTCATTTCTTATCACATCCTCTTACATTCATATTGCACATCTCATTCATCATAACTATTTTAATAGTAAATCTCTACACTACAATCTTAGCCTCTTCAAGTCAAGAGTCAATCTTTATCTATCCTCCTTATCCTCATAATCTTCACTTTATTCCACCTCATAATACATCCATATCTCACTCCTCATTCAGTGACTCTCTAACTTGGGTGCTTCTCGAGCCTCGTATTGAAAGAAATCTTTGTCTTTCACCTGACTACTTTGCTTTTGCGCCCAAATGATCAAAGCGAAATGTTTATTTCCCGGTAGATTAACTTAACGAAATGAAAATTATTTAAACGGTTTATGCGTAAAACCTTGATTATGGCACGGCAGTGAAATGGAATGAAGAGAAAATGATTGAATTATGTGAACGAAAAACGCAGGAGAATTTAAGCTCATTTCAGCGTTGTTTTGTTAGACGTCAAATTTGCTCGATTTAACCCCGTATCCGACCTTGGATGAATAAGAGAAGTATTTACAAGATTCGCAGACTTAATCTCAAAGAATCAAATATACATAACAGATTATGCCCAAGCAGTTTTCTTCATGTTGACTAACAGACAGAAGCAATAAAGCTTCTTATTTGTTCACAGAAGAACGTTCTTGCAAAGCCCCAAGAGATGACAGGGTAAACAGTATTTGACGTCTGAATTTTAATCTGAAATATTCACGGTGTAATAATTTTCTATGTTATTAACGGAAAACGCATGATTTAAGTGCACTAAAAAAGAAGGAAATTATGTTTAAAGATAAATATTTACTCTACACAAACATTTCTTCATAATCAAACTACGGATAAATATTTATATGTAATGAGAAATTTAAGATGCAAAATATACAATGAGTTATGTACAAAGACAATATTAATCAAATAATAATCAATGCATCTTCACTAAAACTCTCTCTCTCTCTCTCTCTCTCACACACACACACACACACACATATATTTATTCAAAGTTATAACATAAGCATGTTATGACATCACTACAAAAATAAAGATTTTGTTTCAACACTGCTGGTATCTTATCAAGTGATGATGTTGACTGCGAAATAAAAGAAAAAAATCTTTATTTCGCAATCAATACTGTAACTTGATAAGACACCAGAAGTGTTGAAACAAAATGGCTATTTTTGTAGTGATGTCATAACATGCTTATGTTATAATTTTCAAATATTATTTGCTCTACTCTGTATTGAGTACTCTTTTCGAAATAGTACTTCTGATTATCGGAGTTTTAGTCTATCTGTACCAGCCCTTATATATATATATATATATATATATATATATATATATATATATATATATATATGTGTGTGTGTGTGTGTGTGTGTGTTATAATTTTAAATATTATTTGCTCTACACTGTATTGAGTACTCTTTTCGAAATAGTACTTTGATTATCGGAGTTTTAGTCTATCTGTACCAGCCCTGTACTTATATATATATATATATATATATATATATATATATATATATATATATATATATATATATGTATGTATGTATGTATATGTATATGATAACAATATATATATAGTTTTAATGCATGCTATAGCTAAGGCTAAAAGTGCTCTATATCAGCGATAGAGCGTCTGTAGATATAAAAGTGGACACTGTGATCAACACCGAGAGGCGAAGATTTGTTTCATGCTTGAACACAATCTTCGGGCCATGTGTTTTATATAATAGCGTGACTATTTATATATGCTGGTGAATGTGTCATTATAGTTAGCAAGGTCAGGTATTTCCGGTTTATTTTGTTATTTTAACGATTATTTTATAGTTGGGAAAGGTTATATTTGAAAGTAATCTAAAGGTCGAAAATTTGTGGATCATAAATCGGTTAGTTTATTTCTATTGTGTAAGGTTGTTTAAGTTTTAATTCATTATTTATTATTGATCACTTAGGGCATTTTCTATTTACTCATTAATTTTTAGTTGTTATAATAATAATTATTATTATTAAATTTACTTATGTGTAACTATTTGTGTATTTATATTGTTTGTTAATTTGTTTATTATTTATTTACTTAATTTGTCGGTTAATTTTCAGTGTAACACCTGCGTCCAGTTCGCATTAAAAAATTTCAGAAAACTTACATTTAGGTATAATTGTGCATACTCCATTCGAATCTGGCTTGATAAATTTGATAAAATCAACCGTTTTG